CCCTAATAAAATGTTAAAAAAAAAAAAAAGTTGTACGAGCCCCCAATAAAATGATTTAAAAAAGAAAATGATGATGGCAACATATGAACAAATGTGCTTGACACAATTGTGTATGGATTGTTATAAGAGTTGTAAGAGCCCCAAATAAAATGATTTATAAAAAAGTAAAGAAAAAAATACATCATCTATCCAAAAGGGTTCAAGAGAAAAGAAAAATCTCAACAAATCCCTAACAAGTGGAGACATTGAAGCAGTGACCAAGGAAGTTAAGTCTTCGACCAGATGACTTCACCAGGGAATTCTACCAAGTATTTAGAGAACTGACACCAATTCTATTTCAACTCTTTCAGAAGATAGAGAAGAAAGGAGTATTTCCTAATCAGTACATGAAACAAACACAACCCTGACACCCAAACCAGACAAAGACACTATTGGAAAGAAAAATGCAAGCCTGTATCCTTCATGAATGCAGATGCAAAAAGAGTCTCTAATTACCAGCCAGCAGAATCCAATTGCACATTGAAAGTCATCCTCCATGACCAAGTGGGATTAATTCCAGGAATACACATATATTTCAACATTAGAATATCAGTTGGTATATATTATACACTCCATTAGTACAACAAAGGAAAATAATTAACTACACAAGCATCTCTACATGTAGAAAAAGCATTTGATAAAGTCCAATACCTTTTCTTAGTAAAAAATAAACAAAAAACGCAACCCTAAAGAAGAGAATTCCTCAATATGATTCCGGGCCTATGTAAAAAAACAATAGTCAGTATTATACTTATTGGACAAAGACTTCAGAGCTTTCCCCTTGCAACCAGGAATAAGACAAGGGTGCCCACTCTCACCACTTCAGCACTATACTCGTATACCAGCCACAACATTAGGACAAAAAAAGAAAAAGAAAAGGTATCCACATTGAAGAAGTATTTCTATTAAATGATCCTATATATAGAAGATCCCAAAGAATCCACAGAAAGTCTCCTGATAACAAAAGAATCTAGCAAAATTGTAGGGAGCACAAAGAGTGTAGTTGGTTCCGTGTTGGGCTAAACTCAAGGGTAGCAGTTTGAAAACACCACCTACTCTGCGGGAGAACAAAAAGGCTTTCTATTTCCATAAAGATTTACAGTCTTAGAAACCCACCAGGGTTGAGCTAGTGACCTACAGGGTCGCTACAAGTCAGGATCAACTTGATGGTAGTGAGTTTGGTTTTTTTGGAGCAAAGTTGCAGGTTACAAGGTCAACAAATAAAAATCAGCAGGGTTTCTGTGTGTCAAGGAGAAATCTGAAAGGGAATTTAGGTAAACTATCATTTATGGTAACATTTGAGAATAAAGTATCTAGGAATAAATTGGGCAGGGATAAGAAAGGTTTATAAAATTGGAATCATAACACTGTTGAAAGAGATTAAAGAACTAAATAAATGGAAAGATGTATATGTTTCACGGATTGGAAGATTTATTATTAAGATGTCAATACTACTCAAAGTGATGTACAGATTCATTAACAATCGTTATGAAAATTCAAACAGCCTTTTTTACAGAAATGGAAAAACAAATTCTGAGTTTTAAATGGGATCGCCAGATGCTCATGAAAATGTAAAATAGCTAAAGCAATGTTCAAAATATTTTCCATTTCCTCACGTATATATGAAAGTTAGACACTGAATAGAGAAGACTGATGAAGAATCGTCTTTGAATTATGATATTTTTAAAGAGCACTGAAAGTATCATGTATTGTGAAAAGAACAAACAAGTACATCCAGAATGCTCCTTAAAAGTGAGGATGGTCAAGTGGAAAGAAAGTGTTCTGAGAATGATGGCAACAACTGTGTAAGTGTACTTGACACAGTGGCTGGATGGATGGTGATACAAGTGTACAAGCCCCCAGTAAAATGATTTACAAAACAAAAAAAGTGAGGATAGATTCATCTCATGTAGAAATCAATCCCTGAACAAGGACATTACGCTTGGCATAGAGGGTCAGCCAAAAAGAGGAATGCCACGGAAAAGATGGACACACTAGCTGCTAGCATGGTTTCAAACAACTGTGATGGTGCAGGCCCACTGTTTTGTTTTGCTTACATACTATGAATTTGAACCGACTTGATGGCACCTAACAACAGAGGTCTAAATAAGAACACTACATTTTTCTTCTTAAAGAAAATTTAATTGCAAGGTTGTCAGACTTAACTTTACAAT